AATACGCAGTGGTAGTTAAGGTAGGCATTTCAAGACAATATAATAAGGCTTCACTCCACTTCAATCAGAGATAACTGATCACTTTCACTATATTCCAAGAAACATCATCTACTGAGTGATTTGTATTCAGGGTAAACAAAAGCACGTTTACGATTCTATGGAAAGTGTTGGAGGATGTAAAGCATTTTATTTAGGTCGACACTTACTTTCTTTTATATCACTCAACCGACGAGAGGGACCTATAGTATGTGCGTCACTCTTAATAGGCAACAAATCACGTGATAGAAGTGTTTACAGGCTTCGTATAAAAACACACGACATCCCGTTTGACGGTAAATGACTACCATCGCTTATGGGCACTAGCATTCGTCAAGTACCATCATGAGTACTTTAGTTAGGAGTAGATTGGTTCATATCAAAACTGATGACTTAAGCTGCGAACTTTAAACAACTCTTTCGGTTTAATATAATCTAATATATTAAAATAATCCTCTGTACCCTGTGTCTAGTTAAATGCTGTTGAAACATTGTTGAATAAATAAATTAAATAAAATAAAAAATATTTACCTTTTATAATTTCCGAGCTGTAACTCACATCACACATGAATCTACAAGTCAAACAAACTGTCAGATCTCAATATGCTGTTAGCCCTTTCTGTTCGAACAATAAATGTTTAAATAAAACCGTTTGTACAAAATATTAAACGATATTAATGAAATATTCAAATTGGACAAACAATACCTCGGTCGTCCGCGGTAGCGGAACCATACTCATACCAAACCCATAGTATAATCTGTCATAAAATTTAATAAAAAAATGAAGGTGAAATTACTAACGAAAACTTCCATCTCATCGCGTTAAGTTATAGAATTTACTTTATACTAACGTTGAGGCAGTTTTAGTATTTACCAATCCTTTTATTTATTGTTGATGCCCCGCAGTTGTACATTCGTTAATTTCATGGCTAAAGTATTTTTATTCCATAAAAACATAAAATGTAAAGGTTATCGCACCGTAATTAAGTTATCTGCTTAATTAATTCAAACGCTACGAACAATCGCTACAATTCAGTTCTCACTTGAATATTTTAAAGAAAGTAATTAACATATCATAATGTAATTATTGTGTAATTTCCACGCTGTAGCTATTGTTGTGGAAGAGAATTATTTAGCTGATAATGTTCTTTGCAACTTATAGAACAACTTATGCCCTACTGAGAAAAGATTACGCTCGGTACCTGCCTATTCCTTACAATCCACTTTTGATGCAGAACAGCCGTGGAAACATCGATCTTCGAACGAGTTAAAAATATGTAAAATGTTTTTACGAAAACAAAAGTAGAAATATGGTAAACTTGTCAGACCGGTTTTTGTAAATGTTTCATGTTTTACTTTGCATTTAAGTAGATCGTTAATGTATTGTATATATATACATTACGTCAGATATGTTTGGTAGAATTCAAAGAAAAAAATATGGTGGTGTAAACAAATATATCTGCCGCGAGTTGATTGTGCGCTTTCGGTACCTACATTTGTTATAGGCGTTTTGTACTCAAAGATTCTTGTATGTGTAATGGTCACCCATGACGCAGCAGATAATCCTAACTTTTGCCCATTGTATGTGCGTGGTTAAACTTTAAACGCTTTCAAAGCTACCCAACTAATAGTTCTCGTACGAAAATCGAAAGTTTCCCGACATCCTGCGTTTAGTGTACAGCCTTCACGATATAATTCAATTCGCTCCAAGCGCAAGCAGGTTTGGATACGCTCTGAAAACAGCAATGTGTCATTTATTAATTGAATTTCATAATGTCGTTTGTTATAATAACTCTGTATTCCGTTCATTAAATACGGTCAGAACAGTTCTGAACTGCTGTGTTCATCTACCACACACCAATCAACATTGTTATGAACTCTCTGAGCGCTGTTCTTATGTACATGCTATTCCTCAAACGACATTTGCAAAGAGACCAACAGTACTTAGTTACTATTAGAACAAGCAGTGAGTCGATATTGTTCAAAGTGGTCGATCCTGGGTCCTTGGCCCTTCTTGGAAAAAGTACCACAACCCTATTCTGTCAAGTTCCATTTGGCGAGCTTAGACTGGTCCTCAGACAATTGTTAGAGATTAGTGTGGGTATGTATCGTTCACCTTGTCTCTGTCCGAGTAATTTATGACCAATCTCCTGCTCACGGGAGGCTGATGTCATACAGCTCGCGTGGACCGTGCTCCAACTGTTTATTGCCCATTTCAGTCTAGATCTTGTCATCGTCTCGTATATTATTATCTTGTTATTGTTAATATGATGAACGCTATTCAAGGTAATTTAGATATTATACTATTTACTGGTGGTAGGACCTCTTGTGAGTCCGCGCGGGTAGGTACCACCACCCTGCCTATTTCTGCCGTGAAGCAGTAATGCGTTTCGGTTTGAAGAGTGGGGCAGCCGTTGTAACTATACTTAAGATCTTGAACTGATCTCTCAAGGTGGGTGGCGCATTTACGTCGTAGATGTCAATGGGCTCCAGTAACCACTTAACACCAGGTGGGCTGTGAGCTCGTCCACCTATCTAAACAATAAAAAAAAAACAAGCTAAACAACAAACACTACATATTTTTTATTTTTATACTGACGTCTAGAAATAACATATTTACTTGACACAAATAACCTGTGGCTGTAACACGATTTAAAACAATTACCTTATATAGTAGGGAGTGAGTACAGCAACAGTGCCAAGGGCACCGGCGTGACTGAAAACCAACTCTTCGCTAAATATGGACGTAACCTCGCCTCACGGTGTACTTTTGTAGGCTCACCAAGATCTGATGCGAATGACGTGATTAAGATCTCAGTTACTTAATTAATAATTTTGTATAAATACTTTTACAAGAATATGTGCCGGTCCCGTAAAATATATAGTTTGTTTACTAACCTCCTAACAAATATAAGTCCGCTATGCAAGCCATGTGGAAAGAGCATGTTCAACACCTAATATCTATCTACCAGTTGTTGTAGATAGATATCAGGTTATCATACTAATTATCATATTAATAAACACAATGCAATTTAAACTGTTGGGGAAAGCAGACGAGTTTATGATCCACATAGGTTGTTACTATCGCTTATGGACAGCAGCGACAAAACCACGCCACTGCACGTTGCAACCCGTATGTGAACCAGAAAATAACACTAGAATAGTGCTGATAATTACTCAGAGCTCTTCTCACTAGAGTGGTGTGCAAACCACAGAGGAGAGCTAACGTCTCTCAGCAAACCCAGAGCATATATCGAGGAGGGAAAGGATATTTGATTTAATTTTGGTTAATACGCGCTATTTATCTTTGTAATTAAAGGTCTGTTTTATTTGGTACAAGTATCAACAATCCCATATTTTTAATTGAACTTCAATTAAGTGCACCACATTCAAACAACTAAAGAAGTTTTTTTCTCATGATATTTTTTCCAAATTTACCACTTTGAATGGGTCTCCTGTGAAGTTGCAAAAATGTCGCTAAAACCAAACAGCGTTTCACCCGTCGATATAGCACAACAGTAACAATCAATTGCAGCTTCTCCAGGTCTTCTCAGTGGGTCGCGTTTCCGGTCCGGTGGTAGATTCTGCGAAGCACTGCCTTGCTAGGGTGAGTGCTAACAATGCTCCGGTTTGAGCCCCGTGAGCTCACCCACACGTTAGGGCGAAGATGAAATAGCCTCTCAAGGCTATCAGCACATGTAGGGAAAAAAGCAGCTTCAATAAATAGTAGCCAGTTCACATTCATTTTTACAAACACTTAAATAAACTTGTTTATATAATATATATGTATACAATCCGCGCTCCTGACAGTTCCTAGTAATGATGATGCAATCATAGTTGTGACAAATCAGCGCTACGGAGTCTACAGACGCCGTCGTTTGACCGGTCAGGCTCCGGGATTAATAATATACTAGCTCTAACTAAATGACCAATCGTGAATTATTCGATGGGTACAATTTCAAGATCCATTTTATAAGCATCGTATAACTGTTCATTAAAACTTTTATTTTTTATTGCCTAGATGTGTGGACGAGCTCACAGCCCACCTGGTGTTAAGTGGTTACTGGAGCCCATAGACATCTACAACGTAAATGCGCCACACACCTTGAGATATAGTTCTAAGGTCTCAGTATAGTCACAACGGCTGCCCCACCCTTCAAACCGAAACGCATTACTGCTTCACGGCAGAAATAGGCGGATAGATACTTCCAACGTAGATCAGGGAGCTAGCTGATGCTGAGTGGCTGCCGTTGCTCAAGGACATCAACAATGTCAGGGGCACAATAAAGCTGCTGTAACTGCAGTAGATTCTTTTCAAATCATTTTGGAGAAAAGGTCTTGTCGTGACACATTTTCTCAATATAGCTATGGTTTGACACTACAATATCTCACTTGAAGCTTTGCTGCAACTATAAACGCCACCGTCCACTCCTCGGTTCAGAATATCAGAGTCTCAACATACAGTGTGCTGAGTATGAGTTTTTTAAAGTTCTCGATAACGTAAAAGTTAGCTCATATTTGTATGGAATAGGATCGTTCGCGTACGTTTATCGCTAGTGGCGTAGTTCCAACTGCATACAAAATTGGGTTAACTTTTACGCTATCGAGAACGTTAAGAAACTCGCACTAGCACACTGAACTGCTATTCGGCCCTTCCAACTGGACCACTTTGTGCGTCGTGACAGAAATAAGTAGGACCGTTTTACCTCTACAAATTCCCACTAAATATACGACCAGCGATGTGGGCAAGTAATCAGCTGGTCAATATTAATAACTGACGCACGGATAGTCAGCGTACAGCCTTAACCTTTAGAGGTTTTAGTGTTTGAAAGAACTTGTGACTTGTGACTCTGAGATACAGATGATCTGAAAATCTAATCGCGAAGCATCTACATTTTAATAATTAATCAATTAACTACAGACTTGTGGCACCTCTGTTGACCTTTTTCCCTCTTTGTTTCCAGCATGTCTGAAGGAGACGTGTCTCTAATTCAAGACGAAGATCTTTTGCGGCGCATGGTGAGATATCTTTTAAATTTCATTGTTTTTGCATTGTACCATGCACATGTTATATAAATTTATTTCTTGTGTATAATTATTGATACTTATATGCATTTGCGTTTGACATTTGGCTACCTACGAACTATCAGTTAGGCCGTAAGCATACCTATTTATTTGATTTCGAAGTTAAAAAAAAAACAATTTTCAAACCCAATCGCATGATTATCTTCAAGGTTTAATATGTTTGTTTCGGTTTCAAGGATGGGTCAGATTCCTTTCAGTTGTCCGGTGCATTTGTATCTAGCGATGCACCGGTGTTCGAATCCCGCAGGCGGCTACCAATTTTTCTAATGAAATACGGACTTAACAAATGTTCACGATTGACTTCCACTGTGAAGGAATAACATCAGGTAATAAAAATCAAACTCGCAATATTATAATTTGCGTAATTACTGGTGCTAGGACGCCTTGTGAGTCCGCACGTGTAAGTACCACCACCCTGCCTATTTCTGCCGTGAAGCAGTAATGCGTTTCGGTTTGAAGGGCGGGGCAGCCGTTGTACTGTAAAAACAGAGAACATAGAACTCATATCTCAAGGTAGGTGGCGGCATTTACATTATAGATGCCCCAGTAACCACTTAACATCGTTTTGGCCGTGAGCTCGTCCACCCATCTAAACAATAAAAACAAAAAACAAAAACTTCGAACAAGCGTACAAGTGATACCGACACGAGGACGCCTTGTTAACAAACCATAGCAACACTATCTTTTCAACTATTGATGGCTCATTGATTGATATAGGAGTAAAGACCAGAGCCATGAACATCCTATAAATATCACATACTTGCACGGAGATATGTAATTGATTGTATATAATCAAAAATTTATTTGAGATTTCGAAAATAGTTGCATCACAGCATCGTAAAATGATAATAGTTACCCACTGTTGATAAGACAATGTACCTGCAATTATATATGCGTTTATATTTTTCTAAATTTTCAATAAAGCTTACTCCAGTTTTCTGTACTCCGCTCTTGGTTGTTCTGGTAGAAGAATGCCTGTAAGTAAGACATTAAGTTCGCTACTCCACTTTTGGGAACAAAGCTAAATAAATATAATAAATTAGTTAAACCTGAGCCCTCGAGTGGGACTAAAAAGGCTTCCAGACTATAGGCAATCCCTCCATCCCTAACAAAAAAAAACAATATACAACAATACAAAAATCAATACGTAAATATATTGTGTACCTACTGTAGTACATTGACTTAAACCACAGTAGCAATCCCTCCTAAAATGACCCTATATTAATTTTAAAGGTGACAGAACTTTTTATTTACCGGTACGAATTAGTATCGCCGTCAAACCTAATTTGCAATAGGGCATTCGTGCATTCTGATCTAAGCAGTAGATCAGCCATTTGAGTTCCATATCAACTCTCATATTCGCCGACGGCACTGACTTCTTAATGTCTCTGGACTCGTCTTCCATCATCTAATGGCTAAAATCACATTTGTATTTTTGTATTGCTTAGATGGGTAGTCGAGCTCACGGCCCACCTGTTGTTAAGTAGTTATCGGAGCTCGTAGACATCTACAACGGAAATGCTACCACCCACTTCGAGACATGAGTTTTAAGGTCTCAGTTTTCACAGTACGACGGCTGCCACATCCTTCAAACCGAATCGCGTTACTGCTTCGCAGCAGAAATAGGTAGGTTGGTGGTACCTACCCGTGTGGACTCACAAGACATCCTACCACCAGTAAAATATATAATATAGTTTAGTACATACTCTCGGCTTGCGATACCCTCAGAAACATTTCTGACTGAAATCTTAAATACATCACGATAGCAAGCGATTTAATTTTCTTTTCCAGTGGCAACAGACCGAAGATTTCTCCCGTAAGAAAGAAATCCGCGCCCACATGTACCGCCTCAGGGAAGAACGTTTACGGAACCTGTACTCCCCAGAGCCCAGCGGAGATGGGAAAGGTATTATACCTACCTACTCAATTATCCATTTACTTTATGTACATTATTGTATATTTAGTCAGCTATAACAAATCCCAACATTGGCGGTTTGTAAGTTTAAATTTAGTTTATCTGTGATTTAATTAATTGATGTAAAGTGTTTCCATAAAATCGACTAGATTAGTAATGCGATCAACAGGTTGTGAGTTCACGTCGAGCCAGGGCCACGTGAAGTCATTTGCAGACCAAACCTTCCAGTCCATGAAGAGTAAAGAGGTCCGCGACGCTGGTTCCCCGCCCAAGGAATTCACGTATCGCGGCCAAGGTGCCTCCTCCGACAATACACTCTAATTACACTAACGCTTCTAACCGTAACAGGTTTCGGAGAGGACTACTGGTTGCGGAACTCACCCTCGTACTTTAACTAATTCCTAGGATTGGCTGAAATCTATATAAAACTTTTGTATTTAATTATGTCTATCGAACTTTCAGACCTGAAGGAGCTATCTAACGCGGGATGGAACGTGGAATCTGATGATCGAATCACCGACGACGGTCATACCCACGTCAAGTCCGTTAACGCGAACATCGAAGGCCGGTACGACGTGGAAGGCGGGAAAGGCCAGTTCGTAGCCGTTGATCGACACCGGCAAGCCGTCACTGAATACCAAGACGAGAACTCCAGTCTGAAACGGAACGAGAGCTCCTCCAACACAGCCGCACACGAGCAAGTCGTCCGCAAAACTGACGACGGAACTCAAATAAGCTCTTCTACTACGAGCTCAAGCTCCACCTCCAAGTTCCAACAGGTATCTTCAANAGGCGGGAAGGGCCAGTTCGTAGCCGTTGATCGACACCGGCAAGCCGTCACTGAATACCAAGACGAGAACTCCAGTCTGAAACGGAACGAGAGCTCCTCCAACACAGCCGCACACGAGCAAGTCGTCCGCAAAACTGACGACGGAACTCAAATAAGCTCTTCTACTACGAGCTCAAGCTCCACCTCCAAGTTCCAACAGGTATCTTCAACACAAGAAACGGTACCATACTCAACTGAGGACCAATATAACCAACGAGCTACTAATCGCAATGAATTAACCAGACAAGAGTATGAAAGTATGAAAAGAGTTGATGACGAAAAAGGAGAGTTAGTGTCCAGGAAGGTGGAATATCCTGATGATAACACTCGCGTGATCGTGGAAACCAGATGTCTTCCAGACGGGACAAGGCTCACGAGCACTCGCCGAGAATTTAGAGCTCCAGTGCAGAGTACTCGCTCCGAGCACCGCTCTCAGACCAGAGCGGAGACTAAGTCAAGCACTGTTCACAGATCGAACGAATCTTTTTCGCCTAAGGTTACTCGCCACCCTGACAGCGCTCGTGATATAGTCGACTCCCAGAGACACGCCGACGATTACGATTTCAAGAAACAAATATCTACATACGTCGACAATGACGACTATTCGGAGACCCAAAGCATTAGAAATCGGGAAACGAATGTTAGCAGTAAAATTGACAGAAACACCGATGACAATTATTCTCGAACTTCTCGTTACGAGACTAAAGTGAACAAGACGATTATTGATTCTAAAGTTGAAAATGACTATTCCCAAATTCAACGTAACGAGAAAGTTGACAGAAATACTATAGATCGTTCAAAAACCGAAGAATTCGACCAGTATATCGACTATGATAATAATAAGACAACTGTTGACAAATCAACCTTTGATGACGACGTTTCTCAAACTACTCGCCGTGTCACAAAAGTAAACAGTAAAGTAATTGATTATTCGACCGTTGACGATGACAGGCATGTCAAACAACATCACGATAATAATCATCACAGTAACACAAAGGAGGTGATTGTGACGCGTGATCATAAAAATGCGCATGACACAGATCAAAAGGATACAAAGTATACAAGAGACGAGAGAGTCCATGAGATAAGGGATAGAAAAAAAGAAATAATAGAAAAAAAAATTACGAATGAAAATTATCAAACGACTTACCAGAGTGATTATACTCAGAGAAAAATAAGCACTGATTGGAGTCCTTCTCATCAAGCTTGGGCCAGTACTTTACGATCTGACACTCCGTCTACTACTAGACCTTCGACCAGGGCTTCATCTCCGGGCAGCAGGACATTTAAATCAAGCTCTTCTTCACTGAGGAGTAGTGTTAGTCCAGACAAGACTCATAGGAAACCGCAAAGCCGAGGTGGTAGTCCAATTAAAGGCGATAAGCCGCAAAGCCGTGGCAATAGTCCAATCAAGAGTGAAAAACCACCAAGTCGTAGTGCGAGCCCAAGTAAAGTTGACCGGAACTCTCCAACTCGTACGGTATCAGACAAATACTCCAGCACTCACAGCATTACGGAAGTGAAAACTAATAAGTATACCAGCCACGATGGTAGACCACCGACTGGTCGGTCTCCAACCCGACCTGTTTCTAGTCCTGATAGACCCAATGACCGTCAGAGAACAAGTGTTAGCCCCGAAAAAAGACCTAGTATCAGCCCAACAAATAAAACCGGGCATGAACCATCAGACTTTCAGCCATCATCTCCTTCATATGAACGACCAACTGAACCTCGTTCTCCGACTAAAACAAGTCAAAATCCTGACAGAACACCAGATTTTCAACCTTCTCAGACCAAACCTGATCAATTAAACTATCCTCGAGCAACATTTCCTGAACGACGTAGTCCTGAGAAAGTATCTAGATCCAGCCAAAGTCCGGAAAAGAAACCCACGGGCGACCGTCCCAACACTCCCAAAACTGACTCTCCAAAACATGCGGACAATATTTCGAAAAGGCCAAGCTTAAGTCCTGACCGAAAGCCATCTTTCAATCAACCACGTGAGAAACCTACTGATAGAACGACACCTAAGAAAAATGTCAGTCCAGATAGAAAGCCAGGCTACATGAAGCCCACCGCTTCAAGCCAACAACCTACTAAAGATTTCCCATATACCACTACAAGCCCTGAAAGAACTTGCCCAAATACAGATTCTACTAAGTATTTCGCTACTACTAGAGAATCTAAAATCAACAAAGTTTCAGAAGACCACTACAAGTTTGTTGACGAAGAAACGAAAACATATACTTTAACAGATAAGACAGACGTGAGTAAGATATCCCACGACTACTCAGAACCTTCCAGGAAATCTCCGACTAGATCTTCGCCTGCTAAGAATATTCCCGATTCAGAACCTCGTGAAGGGAAACCAACTACACATACGAGTGACAACTACCATCGTGACAGCGTTGATGTAACTACCATCGACAAAACAATGAATAAGCATGTAACCAAACAAAATACTTCAGAAGACCAGGATTATCCTATAAGTTCAAACAATAGAGAACCTTCTCCTGCTAAACCCCCAATTCGCAGTAAGCATCCTACAGATGATCGAGAGGTTCCAGACCGAGAAGCATCTCCAATGACTGGTCGCGGGTCTTCTCCTGCTAAATATGGAACATATGAAAAGAAAAAAGCACGAGATGATAATTATACTCCCACAGAAAAGGATTTATCACATCCTAGTCGTGAATCATCTCCTACCAAGTTAGATAAAGGAGACACCAAAAAATCATTAGATTCACCTCGTATTCCTAAACATGAAGAACCGAAAACTGGACGAGAACCATCTCCCTCTAAATTTGGAACATACAATAAAAAACGTCTAACAGAAGAAATAACTGATTATCAAACAAAAGAAACTATAACAACCAATGATATATCAGAAACTAAGTACGATTCGCTTGTGGAACATGGTAAAAATACTAAAAATCCCGAAAACCATTCGATTTCTTCTGAGAAAAAATCTACAAGAGATAGTATTTCACCGACAAAGCCTACGCCTATTAAAGACACAAAACTCAAGACAACTGAATTTATCACAAATGAGAGATCCACAGCGGAAGTTAATATAAAGACCACGAAAGATCATTCCAGGAAACTATTGACACCATCATCTAGTCCAACTAGAAAACCAAAATCAGAGTACGAACCGTCTACTGGTCAGAGTTCTCCAACTACTTCAGTTAGTGGTTTCGTCTATTTCAGTTCTCCTCGTCAAGAAGAGACTAACATAACTGATTTGGATGATCAAAATTATTCACGAACTATAACGACTGAAGAATTTGTAACAACTCAAAGAAGGCCCGATATACTCGATATTGATCATACATCTCCCTCTAAAATACCCTGTCGTTCACCGTCACCTGAAAAAAGAATATCGCCATCAAAAGACAGTCTCCCAAGGAAAAGTTCTCTCAAAAAACCCACTGAGCCACAGCCTTCGCCAGTTGAAAAGCCTCCGTCCAGTTTTCGAGTGACTCCTACCGATGAAATTCCTGACCACAAGACGGTTAAAAAAGATAAGCCTGTAGACGAACCAAATATACCAAAAGCAAAACCTCCTCTTGAAAGGCGTGAGACATATGAAGACCGATGTCGTAAGATACTGGGCATGATTGAAAATGAAGAAACTAAAACAAATGATACTGTATTAAAAAAGACAGACAGTAATAGTTCACTTAGCGTCTCACCTTGCCGTAGTCCAGAGCCAAGTGAAGAAACTTCTTTTAACACTTTTGTCGTTACAAAGAAATCTACAACTGACATCGTTGACTTCATATCACACGAAAAAGATGACATCGTAAAGACATCTGTTCCATCCGCTCACTTTCCTGATAAGACGTCTAAAACCCCAAGAGATGGCTCTCCGACCAAACTTCAAGATCTAACTCAAAATATTTATGAAAAACACGGAAACGAAAGCCATGTTTATGAAGAAAAGATTACACTACAGTCCAAAACAAAAGACGTTAGGAAAAGTCCAGAAAAACAAACGGGTTTACCAAATAAACCCGATGATAGTGAACATTTTAAACTTCCCAAACCATATGAACCTATAGAAAAACAAAAACATAGCACCAGAGAACGTTCTCCATCTAAAATTGAGAGCAAGATTCCCAAGGATGTTTCACCTACGCGGCAAACTGTTAGTCCTAAACGTGAAATCGAAACAATTCCCTCAAAGTATTCCACCACAAAGTATCCATCACGCAGTCCTTCCGTGTCTCCTACACGTCAACTTCAATCACCACGAAAAAAATCTCCATCTAAATCTAAGCCGGATACTGGTTGCAAACAAGACGAGCCACATAGAAGCCCGTTAGCAAAATCTTCAACTCCAAAACCGCAGAAAGAAACATCACCAGAACAAATACCAGGATACATGAAGAGTACCACAACAAAGTACGAGAAATCTACTGATGATATAAGAGAATATGAAAACAATACTGTAAATATTACGTCTGTTAGAAAAACTACACAATCTCCCACTCGTAAAATTTCTAATGAAAATTCCAGGAGCGTTTCTCCATCTAAATCGCATTCTGTAAGTCCGGTACGTAAGCCAACTTCACCAACCAAAGGTACCGTTAACGAACGTCCAGACAGACAGACAGAACAGAGCTCCAACGTCCCAAATTACATGAAAACAACAACAGCTACATCTGTAAAACAAGAACTGTCACTAACAGGAGATACTACATTTGAGGAACTTGATCATCATACTAAATCCAAATCGCCTACTCGTAGATTCCCGCCTACTGTTGATAGTAAGGAACCAAGAAATATTTCTCCTGGACGTGAAATTACAATAAGGCCAGAGCAAGAGCAACAAGACTCACCGAAAAACAACATCACAACTAAAACTGTGACATCTACCTTTACAACTGATGAAAATGATACAATACGGGTAACGAAGACTTCTGAAACAAAACATAAGACTTCTAAACCTTCTTCATCACCCACAAGAGATGCAGGTGAACCTGTTCCTAAGTCTGATAGATTGACATCTCCCCAAAAAAAGCAGCAAAAAGATATCAGTAAAGATGATGAAATACCCAGAAGACGACCTTCCCCCGCAAAAGAGGTTCCAGATACTAAACCTGACTCAAGATATCCAAAAGATACTTCACCTACCAGGAAAACAGCCAAAACACCAGCATCCACATCGGACAATATTACATGTGATAATCGAAAAGAATCAACAGTCTTTGCTAAAACAATGCAATCTTCTGTTGTACCGCCTTGCAAATCACCTTACGAACACCCGGATGATGACAGAGCCACACCAAAACGTTATGGCGCAAGTCCTGAAAGAGAGCCCGTTAATAAATACCCATTAACACCTCCTGCTGCCCAATATCCTTCAGAAACTACAAATTATACGAGCTCTTCAGAATTATCGATTACGAACACAAGAAACACAACACAGTCTAAACTTGTGGATAACCGACAAAAATCTTCGTCTCCTGTGCGGAAAACTCCACAATATAAACATATGAATGATAATGATGATTCTCCAAAGTCTCCTCTTTACGAAAGAGCTCAAGGGAATAAAACTCCGCATCATGAACCAACATCTTCAGAGCCGAAACCTATTAACAAGCGTCCGACGACTCCGTCACCTGAAAGAATTCCCGGATATTTGAAGTCCACTACATCAGTCACTTCAAAACATGAGATTATCCATCTTACAGAGGACACAAAAAACACAACTATTGATAAAACTACTAGGAAAGAATCACCCAATCGTCATGTTTCGCCAGATCGTCACACTCCAAAACGCGAATTGCACAAAAAGCCTGAGAATTGTAAAGAGACGTCATCCTCTAAGCCAGATCATCCTGAAGACATTGACTACGCACATGAACAGACTAGAGAACAGATTCCAATAAAAAAACATACTGACAGCCATCCTAAAAAATCATATAAATCCGAGATTCCAAATTACATGAAATCTACTGCATCTATTATAACTAAGCATGAAACGGAAGGCTATAAAACTGACATAACTACAGGTACAGAGAAGCATCGTTCGCCTAGGCCATCAACATCGCCATTACGACAAGTACCAAATGAAGAACATACAAAATCTGAGGAACCTAGACAACTACGAACTCCTTCACCAGTTAAGAAGATTACATCTACTAAAGAATTTAGTGCCGATTTTATAATGTCGGAAAGAGAACAAGAGGTACTTAATAAGGTGCAAAAGTCATTAAGGAAACTTTCACCCGAGAGAAAATCGGTGTCTCCAATCCGTGAGAAGAGTCCCTCGAAAATGACTAGCCTACACGACTTGGATATTATTCAAGTGAAAGAAACTGTGAAATCAATTGATGGTTACGAAATTATTGATGAGACAGAAGTTTTTGACTCTAACGTGAAAACAGATAAAGCTAAAGAACAAAAGATACCCTGTAAGCCATCATCACGTAATGTATCACCGACGAAGAAAAGCAACATACCAGGTCCTTCTAAAGCAGAAAAAACTCCAGACTCTCCCACAAAATCTAGAAGCATTTCACCTAAGAAACCAATTTCTGAAAGACCTCGATCCCCACAAGTACCTAAAGTCGGTTATGCTAAGCCAAAAGAGATGACTCCATCAACGTTAACCCGTAAGCCCACTCCCGTTACTATTACTACCACCAAATTAGAAAAGGCCCTTGTATCTGACGCAAAGAAGTCAATCACAACAAGTAAACAAGTTATTACGAAAACTTCTGTAAAAGCCACTGCCAATAAGTTTATGACCCCAACTAATAAAACTGAGACTGAACAACGAAAAATTCTAACATTGAAAGATAAAAAAGACCAAGAAATATCAAAAAAAGAATCTGACAGTAAAGTGAGCAGAACTACAAGTGACATCACTTTAAAATCAAAGAAAACAACACCACAGAGAGTCAAATCGAAGCCTGAGATTCAAGTTAGCGATGTGTCCACTAAATCTCATAGACATCAAAAACCTACCAAAGAAACGCCAGCTAAATTCTCAACGAAACCTAAATCAGCCACAGCATTGAATACATCTACAGATGACAGTGATGTAATCATTGATGTAGGGCAATCGAAATCTTCAAGGGAAAATTCACCAGATCGGATTTGTCCAACGCCAATCAACTTCAATCAAGAAGACAGCACACCAAGATTCCCAGATGAAGTAAGCGAGCCCGACGATGACTTCCGCAGACACACACATCATACTATCCATGAAACGGAATCCTTAGTAGATGACATTGTAGAAATTTGCGAAGATGACGAACTATTTGTCAAGAAAAATACACTGGAAGACAGAGAGGAACTTAATATTCACGAGGGTGTATCTAAATCTGTTACGAAACTTAAAGATACTAATATATCATTCTTAAAAACAGAAAGGCGAGAATGCCTTGACGAACAATCAGATGAATGTCTGTTATCAGTGACTGAAAAAGTAAACAAGTTCGCTAAAGGCCCCACAGACACTAGAGATAGTAAGAGCCCAATACGTCGAATCGTTGACGAATACGATAAAGATACAACATATCAAGATGATTACACAAAATTAAGTGTTAATGACAAGGCTCACCTATTTGTTGAAACAGCTGAAAACGTGAACGTACCAAAAATGAAGCCGGCACAAAAATTAGAACGTCCAGATATGAGTAACATTGATGATTCATTAAAGAGTGACGATTGTTTATTAAGCGTGTCTGATAAAGTGAATAAATTCGTTAAAACGGCTGAACAGTTTCTCACCGAAAGTCATGTTGTCGAGGAAAAAGAAAAAAAAATTAAAGAGAAACACGAAAAGATAATGAAAAAGATCGTGGATGACTTTGATGAGGATACTCAAGAAGTGATCGAGGAAATAGAAAGGGCTACCGAAGAATATGAAAAACCAACGAAACACCCTGAAGAAATACGTCACGTAACACCAGATCGTTCAAAAGAAACAGTTAAATTACACCCGAAAGTTAAAGATTTCAAAACACCAACCCAAAAAGCGGCTGATAAAACTCCGATTAAGATTACAACATTAAGGAGCAGCGAAGCCGTCAAAAAAGCTAAAGCATTATTCGAGAATATTGCATCTACTACACAAAAAGCAAAAGATATCAAAATAAAAACTAAGCTGACCGACATTGGTGTTAATCAAAAGACTCCTAAACCGGAGACCCTTAGACATAAAAACGACCATCCTAATGTAACCGAGGACGAAGTTGAGATGAACACCACAGTAATTAAAACCGAGCGTTCAATNGCCGTCAAAAAAGCTAAAGCATTATTCGAGAATATTGCATCTACTACACAAAAAGCAAAAGATATCAAAATAAAAACTAAGCTGACCGACATTGGTGTTAATCAAAAGACTCCTAAACCGGAGACCCTTAGACATAAAAACGACCATCCTAATGTAACCGAGGACGAAGTTGAGATGAACACCACAGTAATTAAAACCGAGCGTTCAATCGAATCAATCAAACCTCAAGAAGATATACGCGAAAGTCCAAGTCGCTTATCCACAGAATCACCAGTCCCGAGATCTAAATCACCGATCAGACATACTGTTGAAACGGTCACAACGAAAATTACAAAATCTGCTGCACCAAGAGGGGAATCTCCGAAGCAGCGGCCTGAAAATGACAAGCCTGATAACGTTCCAGGCTATTTAAGACCAACGAAGACAAGTCAGATTAAGGAGGAGACTATAATCCATGATACGGAAGTGAGCAGTCGTCGTGGCAGTGGAAAGTTTGGCGTGGAGCTTCGTAGAACGAGCGTTGAACGTGCTGCAACGAGCAGTGAGAGGAGACGCAGCGTGGAACATCCTTGCATAGAAGATATCTTTGATGTCGAGCTCTTAGAACAAATGGTAGGTTTTGTTGTACTTGATCCCCGCTCTAACAGTCCACTTGGTGATAAATGGTTACCGGAGCTCGTAGACATCACAACCTGAGTATTTAAAATGTTGTAAACTTTAAAATTTGAAATCTAGCAAATATACAATACTCCTCCTTGGCTATGCCCGTGGTATTGCTGACATCTATGAGCGTGATCACTCACTAAAGGTGAGCTGTAAGCTTATATGTCCAAAAACAATTTTTCTATTGAAATAAGTATCCGACAAGTTGTCGACGAATTACTGCTGCAATGCTATTTTGCGTTAAGTCTGAAAGAGCAGGACAGCCGTTTTACAATAAAATTCAAGTCAGGTTTTAATCTCAAAAGAAATATGGCAGCATTTACGTTGTATTGTAATGTCTAAACGTGTATTGCCAATTCCTACATTTTCTGTGTGTTGTATTCCGAACTCCACCAAGCAATGTGGCACTGACGTTCAGGTGTATGTAGCTGGTAGTATTTCCGTGTGAGAACACAAGAGGCAATCCATATAATATATGCTAACTCTCGTTAAACTTCTCTTTTTTCTCTCTTTGAAGCTGGAAAAAGTTGTGGGCTACGAACAGAGACGCCGAATTCGTGCTCAAATAAGAGAAGCGAAGAAATCAGAAGGAAATTTCACGAAAACTACAAGAACTACTCTAACAGTATCAAATAAATCTGTGCCACACAAGTCTCCAGACCGTTCAAGGAAATCTATGCCACAGAAGACTGCGTCTCCCGAGAGAAGAGCTCCCACTTCGAAAACGGGTCACAAAGAACCATCAACTTTGAATGGACATTCTAAAGAACCCGTCGAAAAGCAACCACGTGATCAAAGGCCACACAGTCCTGAGAAAGGCAAGACCACACCAAAAACTTCTCGCCAAAGTCCCGAGAAGAAAGTCAGACCTCAGTCACCCACCAAGGTGACTCCCAAAACGAAGTCGAACCGATTCAATGAATACGCTTCAGCGTACATGAAGAAAGTGGGACTGAACGAGAAACTACCAGAGATTAAGCAGCAGACAGAAGAACACCAGCAGTCACGCATCGAGGAGCATGTTACAGAACATTTCGCAACATCCAAGACGATTATCCAACAAACGTCTTCTAGAGACGTGATCGAAACAACAAATTTCAACGGTAAACGGTCACCGTCTCCAGGGAAAAAACAAAGTCCACAACGCACAGGAAGCTTTGAGAAACGGTCACCAAGCCCGGACCTCAAACGACAGAAGCCAGATACTAAAAAAGAAAAGATAATAAAAACAGTTTATGAAGTCGAAAAGAAGATTTCACCTAAACCAATACAGGAGGAGAAGCCCTCGTGGGTGACCAACAGGAATTTAAAGAAGGTGACGTCAGAAACGCGGAGTTTCAGTTCGAAAAAAATTGAGCCGGAAAAACCGAAATACCGGGCTCCCAGTCCCTCTAAAGTCATATCTAAGCCTTTGGATGTGATCACGTCGAGCTATGGGCCCGGACCACTAGATGCAGATGGAAAACCACTCTTCGGGATAAAAGCTTTGAAAAAAGGAAGCAGTAATTACCAAGGTGTGTTTTAATTTTTTCTCCTTCTAGTTGGAGCCCCCGGCTTCGTTCGATTTGATATAGATTTTGTCAATCAATTGAGCCGCAAAACACGCATTTTTTAAGTTCTCCTATATATTGTGTTTTATGTCCTGCTATACACATACAAATGCATTTATAAATGGTGACACGCGACCCTGCTATACCCAGCTGAGCGCGGGACAGTCGTGCTTCTGGTCATCCTTGCGATTGTTTAATGTTAGATTTGCTTCCGGTACATCATCGGTACTGTTTCTTTTTTCTGTACTCCAGACACTATGTAACGTGTCATTCATGATTGTCTAAAAACTATTTTTTATGCCAATTTTCATAATGATTGGTTGAGTAGCTAGTAATAAATAGGAGCGTGTTAAATTTGTTTGCTCGACGGCAACATCTACCTTCTTCTACATCTGTCTTACCGATAAGTTTCTCTAACAATTTCGTAGCGTTAGAGGAGAATGAAAGATCCGTTGGAAATTCCTTTGGCACCTACCGAATAGTTTCGAACGAACATTACTACATTCAGGACTTCTTGTCTACCAGCATAAACTCCAAGATAAATTATTTAAATTTAAAAGAAACTGATCAGTGGGCCAGTTTCTTGCACCAATCTTTCTTGAGATATTTCTAGAACAGGCGGTAACGCTTCCTTCAACGTTCAATAAGTATGTTATCCATCCATTAAAATAAATGTTTTTAAAGTGAACATGAATTCAATTAACATTATCTATCTGAAAATTATTTTTACGACACAATTAAATTGAAAACAAGTTTGTTAAGAAACTTAGTCACCACGAAGCGAGTGCTGCGGTTAGTCATTGCTTTAGTTGTTCAGTTGATCGTTATATGAGAGCAGTGTATGTTCCGTGACGAACTCATATCAAGGTTCGCATACATGCATATTGTTATAATTATATTGAAATATCACTCGGAACAGCTTAACAATTTATACAAGGAATCGAATTCGCGAAGAAAAAAATGGCGCAAATCAATCTTAAATAAACTACATCAATGTTATCCGTGGGTAAATTTAGGACTGAAAAAATAATTTATTAGACTCATAACTAGATACCTAGATACCCTACGCTGGTGTTATGTTAAGTAGCAGGCACTGGGCGGGTGTTGATCGCATCTAGTAACTGATTAATGTGTGTTCTTAAATAGCATAGTAATTGATTTAAATCTGTACCTATTAATGCAAATACATCTGTTTATTAATTACGATATAATTTTATTTTCTCTTAGTAAAAGGCACTGTGATACGACAAGAGTTTCACTCCCGCAACGGCGGAGAGCCCGAAGGCACCGTATCCGTCACAGCCTATTCCACTGAGCCCGAGGAGCTAGAGAAACTTCTACAGGGAGAAGGAGCTCCTCCATCCAGGATACATGGCCTGGCGGCCATCACCACGACCAGGAAGTTTGGTGGAGACACCGGTACTTCTATTCACGAAGCACACGGGGTGAGTATTGTCAAAATTTCAGCTCTAAGCTCATACCACACTTGTTCCTTCTAACTGTCGCTCTTATTACTTAACGCGGTGTATTCTAGGAATGGTTACTGTGTTTTCTTTTTCATTTACATACATCTTCAAACCAGACTGAAAGACACAGAACGCAACGTCAGCAGGAGGTGGTGGTCTTACTGGACCTCTTGTGAGTTCGCGCGGGTAGGTACTCTGCCTATTTTTGCCGTGAAGCAGTAATGCGTTTCGGTTTGAAGGGTGGGGCAGCCGTTGTAACTATACTGAGATTTTAGAGCTTATATCTCAAGGTGGGTAGTGCATTTACGTTGTAGATGTCTATGGGCTCCAGTAACTACTTAACACTAGATGGGCTATGAGCTCGTCCACCCATCTAAGCAATAAAAAAAACTTACACCGCGCTTAAGATTTCATAGCTGATAGCTTTGACACATATAATTATGAAAGCAGTATAGCGGACTATATTAATATATGCTTTAACATGATCAAGCGTGTACAGTATCCTAATGAGCAAGTCGTTAGGTTTTTATTGATTAGATTGGTAGAATGAGCATCGGTAACATTTTAATGAACCCCACAGAAGGAACAGCGCGCAGTCCTAGATCAGTTCACCCAGAACGACAGACGAGTCTCAGACACTAGTCTAGACATCACGAGAGACACCTCCACGTACGAGTGTAGAAGAGAAATCGAAGAGCGGACAAACGATAGAGAAGAAGAACTGAATACAGATAATGTAAAGAAAAGTATAAAAATAGAGAAGATGTACAGACATGACAATACAGGGAAGGATGCGAGAGATGATAGGAAAGATAGAGTGGAAAGGAGAGATGATAAGAAGACCGTCAGACAGAGCTCTGTGAAGTCTCTTACTGAGAAATATATTAAGAGTGCAAGTAAGTGCTATATACTATGATCGGATTTTGTCATTGTATGAAGTTTTTTCCATTCTTTAAACTTTCATGAGACCTACAAATGAGATGGGACACTAATCTAATACAACACAGGCAGAATTTAAACTCAATTTAAATTTCATTTATTTTCTGGTTGTTGATGAAGTGGAACAAATAATATGTTCCCATAAGTGTAAGGACTCTATGCGTTTATTGGAAGTCCGTTTATTACTTGCAAAATCTAAACAATTCTCCATACAGCTTCTTTTATTAAAGTAATGAAAGAAAACCTAAATATCGGCAAGATCAATCTGTCAGGTATCCTCTGAGGGTTGAAAATTAATGTCCAAGAAAAATATAGCCAAATGAAAGTATTTAAAATCAAATCACAAACGTCTCTGTACACTCCATTAGAATCCTTCAAGAGAACTCTGCTCACCACGAAATATGAACGGTAATCGTCTTATATAACGTAACTTTCATTATTTTGTACGTAGTTAAAACACGCAGTCTGTCGCGACATTTCGTGGTGAACGGTGACCGTCCACCATGTTCCGAGAGTACATTGATATAGTTAAATTAATAAATAGTGAGTAAATTATATTTCAAATTGATAATTGAATATATTGTGTATGTATTACCTTATTTATACGCAATACAGACAAACGGTTTGATTCGAAAGACAATATGGATATTAATTTTTAAATAACACATTTGAGCTTGACCTCACACCTCAAGGTGGGCGGCGGTTATCGTTCTGTGGTCTCTATGAGTACAAACACGCACTTAAAATTAGGTGAGCCGTGCGCTTGTGTGCACATCTACAGAACTAAATAAAAAACGTTAGCAAACAAAACGAAGGTTACAAGATTGTGAAGTTGCACTTGTTGCTCCGGATCTACCTGAGCCGAGTCAGAGTAGGTCAAAGTGACGAAATCTGTGTACCGTATTATCAATTCACAATTCATTATTCAGTCACCATTAACTCACTTTGAAAAATTGAATTTATAAGTCAATTCATACGTATTGCTCTATTATTTTATAGCTTCAGAGTTTCAGAACAAATGCGCGGCTCACATCATGCTATGTGGTTATCGGAGTCTTTAAAATGGGACCACCATCATGACACATGAGGTCACACTCTTAGTTATAGCTGTTTAGATATACTAAAGATTATCATCGTTTTCGTAGTATGTGGAGGACCCACTGAACGATTCCGCCACCGTCCCTCGCCTAAGCTACTGATCATCACATTTGGATAGATCGTAAAAGGCAAATGGAAGTCTAAATTTAGGTTCCGTACACGCATCTCATTACATCACTTGATACAGAGAGCTTATATGTCATCTTCGTAGACCCTTTCATCAGTCCTTAAGACGAATTTGACTTTAATTTGAATCCCATGAGAACGTTACCTAGCTGGAGTACCTGCCGTGACTAACACGTGCTTGGTCATTATTAACTATTATTTTTGTCCATTTTTTCGCATCAAAATAACCCATTTCCTTTTGAAAGGCAGTATTTCTACCTCTTTGTCATTACTCCACCTATTTTTCTTAACTGGTGGACTGGTGGTACTGGTGAGTCCGCGCGGGTAGGTACCACCACCCCACCTATTTTTGCCGTGAAGCAGTAATGCGTTTCGGTTTCAAGGGTGGAGCAACCGTTGTTACTATACTTGAGACCTTAGAACTTATATCTCAAGGTGGGTGGCGCATTTACGTTTTAGATGTTTATGGACTCCAGTAACCACTTAACACCAGGTGGGCTGTGAGCTCGTTCACCCATCTAAGCAATAAAAAAAAATCTACTCAATGGGGGACGAAATACACGATGTGGTATATAGATATAATTCAGAGAGATTGTACTAGGCCAAAAAATCCATTTACGTTAAATTTATCGCGTTTCTATCGTAGGTGAGAGCTCGAAGACCGACCGCAGCGCTTACCCAAAAGCTGGGCTCATCCTCAGAACGGCCACAATGAAAGACAACGTCTCTAGTGACTCCACCTCGCATGTCGGTGAGTAACTCTACGAAAATGTCAAAAAAACGATCATTTTTCTTAACAAAACAGCTGAACCAACACTAAAGACTGTTCCACCATTACCATTGTTATTAGAAATATTTATAAACCAAAAATTGTCCAATAAAACTATACCTAATAAAATTTCAAAAATTATAATGGACAACTTAAATGAAATAACAGCTGTAATAAAGAGAAATTAATCTAGATGATAATGTATATTCTGAAATGAACAACATTAAACTTTTTTAAACAATGGCCGACATTCAGAATGGTATAATTAAACAAATAAAACCATGAAGTCAACTTAAATATACATAGGTACGTTTATGAATACACATACATATATACATTAAGATAAATACATTACGTAAACATTAGTCACCAGTAAATTGCTGCTACCGAATTATTTATTTGTCAACAACTATTGTTGTTTAAAGCTGCGATATGACGTGATTACTTCGATTCCCTCGGTATAATCAGAAATGGGGATTAGAGTAGTGAAACCGGTATGAATGAACGATAGGCAAGTAGTTTCGGTGCAGTAGCCAGGGACCAGAAAAAGGACCTATATTTAACTCGGCAGATTGACTGTTGATAGTATCCTACCATTTAAGTCTTCTATACAGTACCTGCACATCAATAAAACTCTTGGATTACAAAGAAACCTTTTCATCGTCAACTGTCAGTGTGAATTTTTAAAGGCAAGGGGTCAATAAATGTTTGTTGCACAGGTCTTGCGCGTACGGACAGCGAGCACAGTCTGGGCTCGGTGGAAGAGACTGTGGTGACGACCACGGAGCGCACCGTGGACGGGGTCCGCACCACCACGCGCCAGGAGAGGTCCTTCCTCGACAGTGGGACCAAGGTCACCGGGGTCCAGGATATACTGACCAGGATGAAGAACGCTGATATAGGTTAGTCATTTGATTCGTGTGCGCATAATTTCCTACGCGCCTTAATATGTTCCATCACAGGATTTGACTTAAACAAAAACATTTTTTTTTTTATTGCTTAAATGGGTGGACTAGTTCACAGCCCACCTGGTGTTAAGTGGTTATTGGAGCCCATAGACATATATAACGTAAATGCGCCACCCACCTTGAGATATAAGTTCTAAAGTGTGAGTGAAAAAGTGAAGCAGTAATGCGTTTCGGTTTGAAGGGTGGGGCAGCCGTTGTAACTATACTTGAGACCTTATGAGACCTATCCAGTAACCACTTAACACCAGGTGGGCTGTGAGCTCGCCCACCCAACTAAAGCAATAAAAGTGGAAGTCAATCGTGAACATTTGTTGGGTACGTATTTCATTAGAAAAATTGGTACCCGCCTGAGATTCGAACACCGATGCATCGCTCAACACGAATGCACAGGTATCCTCTAGGCCACGACGACTTTATAAATATATATAAATATGAAAGAAATGTTTGTCCAGTGATCGAAGACGGCGACACGACGGAGGACACGGAGGCGCGAGCCCTGCTCAACAAGTTCCTGGGCGCCTCCGTGCTGATGGCCGGCATGCAGGGCTACGTCACGGAGAAACCTTCCGGGAAGGTCGTCGTTCAACAGGTCAGTACGATTGAGTGAGCCAGCGGTAGATTAATGGCTGACTTACATAAATATAGCCATTTTCACAATATTTTTTTGACTACGATTAAGTAACAATTACAATATAATATATACATAAATCTATATATTATTAATACGTGAAGCAAAAACTTTGTAGCCCTTATTACGAAAATTGCGATGACAGAGGAGTATGAAATTTCCCACACTTATAGAGAAGAGAAGTGCAGAATGCTAATTTTTTTTTTTAATTATGCTTAAAAAGTACATTAAATCAATAAAAAAACATGACACACACTACCGTGTATTTGACACACGTACACGCTTAAGTGTTCTTCGTTTATTGTCAAACTTTTGTTATTGTTTAAAGTCTGTGGTCAAATTGAGAATAGGTTAATGTTGCTTGTCTTTAATATTATTTGTCCATAATGTAGTCTTGGCGAAATCTGTGGTTATAGGAAGTAAAATATAAAAAATAGTCTTAGATAATAGAATATAATAATGTTCAAACTTATAATTTCAATTAATTATAGTCGAATTTCGACTACTGGGGATCCATTACTTTAGTATAATAATAAGTGGGTATCTATTTTTTTCTGATATTAAGTGCGTATTGTAATCTCAATTGGATTAGCCATCATCTAGTTGACAGCTACACGTATCAACTGAAATATTATGTAATCAGGGCACAGTTAAGACCAAATTATAAACCGTGAACTCAACGGCACGTTTTTTTTTTTAATACCCTTAATTTGTCATTCGCAATTTTTAATATTCCCGCCTGAGAGATGCCGCATGATAATGATCGTAAATTTGGCGCGCGCGTCTGCAGAACTGATATACGTGAATCATGTGTTTAGTCCACGCCATGTTTACAATTCAGAATTAAACGTAATTAATGTTTCAGAAGATTTAACCATAAAAGGAAATGATTATGAAGTTGTCATATGCGAGAGATAGATCTCGCTTCGAAACAGGTTTCAAAAGTCTTTGTATATAAAGATAGTCAACAATGTTATATTTAAACACATTATACGCTGACTAACTAATTGGAAAGAAGAATTATTTTTTCGATAGTTCGGTAAGTAGGTAATCACCGTCGCGCGTGGACACCAACAAGCCCAAGCCGTTGTCTACTGCTTTGACCAACCTTACCCGCAAAATTCTAATTTGCGTAATTACTGGTGGTAGGATGTTTTGTGAGTCCGCACAGGTAGGCACCACCTATTTTTGCCATGAACGTAATGCGTTTCGGTTTGAAGGGTGGTGGGTCAGCCGTTGTACTGAAAAAACTGAGACCCAAGAACTCATGTCTCAAGGTAGACGGCTGCATTTACGTTGTAGATGCCTATGGGCTCCGGTAACCACTTAACAGGTGGGCCGTGAGCTCGTCCACACACCTAAGAAATAATATATAAAAAAATCTCTGATATGTCCGTGGTCCACGGGCTACGGCCAAAAGGGTTGGTTGTATACTCAATAGGAGAATTAAAAAATACCGACTGAAGTGCAATGTTCACTCGAGTTGCGCCTTGTCCTGTGTTTAATATAATGTATAAACAACCTCGCAGCGTCATATTGACAATAAAGGATTTTAATTCAAACAAAGTATATTGTGTCGCTAAATACTATTTTTTTTTGTTTTTTTTTTTGTTTAGATTGGTGGACGAGCTCACAGCCCACCTGGTGTTAAGTGGTTACTGGTGCTCATAGACATCTACAACGTAAATGCTCCACCCATCTTTAGATATAAGTTCTAAGGTCTCAATATAGTTACAACGGCTGCCCCACCTTTCAAACCGAAACGCATTACTGCTTCACGGCAGAGTAGGCGGGGTGGTGGTGCCTACCCGTGCGGACTCTCAAGAGATCCTACCACCAGTAATTACGCAAATTATAATTTTCCAGGTTTGATTTTTATTACACGATGTTATTCCTTCACCGTGGAAGTCAATCGCGAACATTTGTTTAGTACGTATTCCCATTTCAGAACTCTCTTTTTATCCCTACCTCGATCAGCATTTCCTACGAGTCATGCACGAGCATGTCTTTGTGTTATACGCCAAATACGTAAAAAGCTCATCTCTCGACCTTGATTTAAGTGTCCAAATGTTCTGATGTGTAAAAACATACGTGATCTATATTTGAAGGCGAAATATAGAGCTTATGTGTGTGAACTTTTAATATAGGATTGTTTCTAATTTCTGTTTTCCGTTCTCTAGATTTATTAAGGTACTCATTAAAATGCCTGCGATGTCCCATCACTTCATACCCATATTGTTCGGGATGTTTCTGGTAACCAGTTCTGAATAAAGTGCAACATCTTTCCCAAGCTCTAATCATAAAAACAACTGTAGCTTAAAGCACGAGTGATGTACTCCCAAATATACCTTACTTGCGATTTCTATCTTCCACAAGGCGGCAGATGCAGAATTAAAACCACCCAAGTTTTTTATTACAAAATTCTACGCCTCGATCAGTGGCGCAAGAGCACGACACCCAACCTGCCCAGTGCTGCACTCAATGCCAGTCTCGACCCCAGAACAGACAGAGGTTCCCGAAATTTTATAAATCGAAAAAAAAAATTTTTTTCAACTTACAATTCGCATGTTACATTAACCTCCTTACGATAATCCCAATATATTTTCCTAGTAAACAAACGCTAATGTGTGTATATACGCCATATTGCCGTTTTAAGACAGGCGCACGGATAGCGAAGCAAACGCGCGCGCAAAAATAACTGCCCGCACTTTGCAGCTCAAAAACGAAACATCATAAAACGAACGTAACTCCACGCGAAATTCAGCTTTAAGAGCAACAATTCGCTTACATTTAAACTCGCGAGTTGCACGAACATCTCGTCCCGCTATATTTGGTGAGCTGACGTCAAACATGGATGCGCTCGCAGTCCGGACCACACTCGCGCAGTGAACGGTGCGCGCCGATATCAGATATGATAATTTTTTAATTAGAAAAACCATATCTATGGTAATAAGGTTAAGATTCAAAATTAATTAAATATTTTATTGTGGTTTAATCGCGTGAAAGAGCGCGATCCAGGCCTTTAAGTGAATTTATCAGGATTGCATTTTTCTATAAACGCTAATAGTAGGTAAGTTTTATTTTTAGGTATTCCATAGCTTTTATCTGTGATTTTAAGAATTTTACGCAATTTACAAAATTTGTAAATTATACAATTGTGAGTTATTTGTTTTGTAGTTGTGCTATTAATGTCGAGAAAAGATCACTGAAAATTTTAAAAATAAACACAACTACACAGTGCTATAGCGTGTGCCTGATCAAACGTGTCTTTCAACAGCGGCGTTCGTCCGTCCCGAGGTCGGACGTCGGGACACACATTCGCAAAAATAACGCAACATAACATCGAGCATAATTCTCAATGACAGCTATTTTCGATAATTACTTTATATTCCGTGAACCACAATAAAATGTTCTCAATTGAAGGGTAGGCTAACCGTTAATATGTATAATTTAATTTATTCGATTTTATGTACACGCAAATAATCTTAATTCATGATATCCTATTGATAGACAAAATTTATGTATGTTTTTTTAAGATTCAAATCTGTCTTGGTGATACTGGAAAGGCTACCGGGCCACCGTAATCATTCAATCCTACAAAAAATGTAGATATTTTTACGTTACTTTTGTCAGATTTTATCATTCGCATCTATCTGGAATAATGATTAATGTTAAAAATGTTAATATTGCCATTTTAAATTAATTAAAATAAGCTTTTGGTTATAACTTCAACATGCCTAAAATAATACATTTTATACACAAAGACCGCATATACAAATTTGTTGAACAATGCTAGCAATACATATCCCGTAACTTGGAGCAAAGCGTTCCTCGAATCTCAATTATTCGCGAGCTAGAGAGTAAGAACAACGGCAGTACCGACAATGTAAACAATAACAAGAGACAACAAAACTAGTCACCCGACAAAACAATTGTTTATTTGCCAATAATCAAATTAACATAAAAATATAATGACGTATGAGTGATGAGAAATTCGAACCAAAAACAAAACGCAATTCGTCAAACATTACATGTACTTAAAAGTAGTACATTCGGCCTGCGAAGATTGTCGATAACCACGATATTGCCCAACAATAACTATGCTCGTCTCATTGAAACATTTAACGGTAGGCAGTGGCTTGGCTCTGCCTCTGGCATTACTGAGGTCCATGGGCGACAGTAACTACTCACCCTCAGGTAGATCGTATGCTCGTCTGCCTACAAGGGCAATAAAAAAACAGGCTTACAATTCGCTTGTCATCTGATTCATTCGAAGCATAGCAGGTCAATCTGGTCTACAGAGCCAATCAGGTCCTAGAGAAAAAAAATCTTGTTACCGCGAAGCAGCTTTCCTAGTGTAAAAACACAGCACATAAAATTACACTACTGAAAGCAAGAAAAATAAAAAATTAAGATCACGTTACTCTTCTAATTTTTTTAACGTCCTTTTGCAAGTTTTGCCCCTATTCCACATTATAATATGGTGTCAGCGCAACATGTTCTCTTATCATCAAGCCGCCACCCTGACGTCAACCCTCCTTGAGATATATCTCTAGTAGTATATCTATTACATTGTGCCGAAGGGAGGACTTTTTTGTTTCTTCTTTTGGTTATCCTTCTACTTAATCCTTTTTTGGTTCCATGATTTGCATTTTACTAAAATAAACATTTAAACGTCCGCAGGTCATTATAATTATATATGCATATATTATATTAGCAGATATCATAAACATTATACGCCTCAGTTTTCTTTTGTTGATAAACATTAGAAAACAACTACAGTTGACAGAAGGTAAAGCAAATCAAAAGTACTGCTATGAAAATTATAACCTTCATACCATTCAATAGATTAAACTTAATATAGGAATAACTACTACAATCTACACGCTGTGTATTCATCTTGTCAATGACTCGTGTGGATAGTTGGCGTGTAAGGAAACTAATTACAAATAATGAACATA